GTACAATATTAAATAAACGAGTTATGTCTTGAGACAGCAACGTAACATTACTAAAGACATCTTAACCCACACTCGCTTCTTCCACACTAAGCAGATGATGTTAAATAAATTGACTTGAGGTTACTACTATCAACCAATGTTCAAAAAAGCACATTATAGAGCACCATGGCATAAGACGCATCTCTGCTGTTACGATAAGGCTTATAGCATTTTTATAAAGTGTGGCTCACAYCATGACGCCTTGTGGCGAGCATTTTTTACAAGATGTGATTTTTTTTTTCAACTTCTAATATCTTTTATCTTTTTTAAATTTAATTTTTTTAACTTTTGTGTTTTTACACTTTTAACTTTAGATGTTATATTTTTTATAGACTCAATTATAACACTCACAGTTTCTTGGATTCATACATGTCACGGACTCACGGCTAAAACGAAGTTGTAAAACCCTTCCAATTCTATTTTAAATGTTTGATTACAAACTTTTTACGTAAAACTAGTTAATTTATATGAATATCAAAATTTTAATATCATTATCATATTAAATAATAAATAGAAAGCATATATGTGTGTGTATGAGAAAAATTCAAAAAAACCCAACAAACTTTTTCATTTTGAATGATTAAGTCCCTGAAYTATTTTTTAAAATAAAAAATCATTGAACTTTCACATTTTCATTAATTAAAACCCTCTATTTTTTTACCTTGAATTTTTTTTTTTAAAAATAAATAGACCATCAAACTTTTACTAACCTGTTAATATAACTTTTTAGGTTAAAAAGGATATAGATGACTAATTTTTAAAGTACAATGATTTATTTATAAAAAAAACGTTCAAGGACTAAATCAATCAAAATGAAAAAGAAGATATCTTCTTTCACTTCTCATTACTTTCCTTCTCACACGATYYTTCGCCTATGTATATAATCATATATATGACGACAAAAAAATGTCGACTTGTGCCACGCTTTAAAAACTGTTACGCCATCATCATGACGTGYAAGACTTAAGGCTTGAGGTCACAGACATTTTTTGAACCTTGCTATCAAACACAAAAACAAGGCCAAACAAGAGGCAGCATCCTTTTCTCCAAAAAGAACCCACAAACGGCTARCAGCTAGATACAAAACTAACACAAACATAGTTTGTGAAAGGTACTCCTCTTATCATTAAAAAAACCCTGCAAACGGCCATAATCAATAGAAGCTTACATAGAAAACTAACAAGCAACACAATTTCTTTCCAAAAAAAACCTGCAAACTCAACAGCAGCCAGATAGAAAACTATAACTACTAGCGACACGAAAACAAAACCACACAAATTCTCGCAACGGCATAGAAACCATCTCCATGAACCATTTCACAAGATGCACTTCTAAAATAAGTTATACAGTGTTCACCCTAAAAAAACTACCCATATCATACCTACAAAACAAAGCAGCAAAAAAGTTGTACAAATAACTCATAAATGCTCTTCTTTTTCCTTATGTTGCGCAATTGCTTGCTTCTATGACTGTAAGTAAGTAAGGTTCTATGTACACCACTTTACAATCTTTCTATAACATTACAAGAGAACCAAACCTTCTTCCCAAAACAAATCTACAACAAATCAACAAACCCATTTTCTTATCATACTCTTACTATACACATTTCTCCCAATTCGACTTGCCTTCTTTATATCTCGACCCGCATTCTAGATCTTCACCACTCGCAAGATTTGTTGAAAACACGTTCCATAGTTTGTTCTACCCATCATGTCCTGAAGTTTCTTCAGCAGCCGCTGCAATGGTTTCTTCTTCGTTTGATAGGCAACGAATAGGAACGTACACAAATCCTTTTGGCAATCGTTGGTTTCTCATAGACGCCTGATCTGAAGTCATCACCAGCTCTTTCCCGAAAGTTTCCGTATGCTGTCATGTAATCTAATACTTTAGAGCAGATTTTTGATAATTTCTTCAAATGGAGAATCAAAAGCTAAAATCTCTAAATAAAGTATTGCATTCAACTCCAACAAATTCTCTATTATAATTATCCTACTAAATTTTATATCCCAATAAATTTAATATGAAAATGAAAATATTTTCAACTTGATTGGTGGAAACAATGAAAAACCAATTTCTTTTTCCTCGGCTTTAAATTTTAGAGAATTCTCCTGTTACCCTTTTCCCTATTCCCTCCAATATAATGACTTCGACACCCTTTTCCCTATTCCCTCCAATATAATGACTTCGACACGTCATCTTCTTTCTCTCCCCCGCTACCATTTGATTTTGAATATGCCCCCCTACATTTACGTAATCATAATCTTCTCTCTCTCGCACTACCATTTAATTTGAATATGCACCCCTACAGTTACGCATTGGCCCTCTACCTTCACATCTCGAAATTAGATTGGAGGAACATGGAGGGAGTAAACCCCACCAAAGTTTGAAAAACATCAAAAAGAAATTACCTTTCCATGTCGGAAACACTTCTCCCCGTCATCTGATGTACTGCGAGATGCTGCAGATGAAGGTCTGTGTGGAATTTGTTTTCCAGAAAGTATCGGCCTTGTTGTAGGAGTTTGTGTGAAGATTTGAGATGTTGAGCTGTCGTCAGTTTTTTGGTCATTGTCCATCGGCATCGGAAACCTTATGCGTCTTTTGCCAGCAACTGTGCTATCAATTGTTATGTCATCTGATCTTTGAATGGTTTCACTGCAAGACTTGTAACTGTTTGTGTAACCTCTTAGGGAGGTCGTAGCAGACTCGGAGCTAACATCTGGGGACACAAAAGCAGTACAAGCCCGTATAGATGAAGATACCGACTCGCTATTCCAACGAAGCATGTCATGTGAACAAAGGACCAACTCACGCTGCAAAAGTCGAATCATATAATCTCACAATGTCACAAGACAAAAAAGCCAACACTTATAATGTCGAAAGAAGAACATTAAAATTGAAAAATGAGAACAAAGAAACAATAAACCTCTTGCACTAACACGAAAGATTTAACATAGGTCAAACAAATGGGAGTATCAATGACAACAGAAACTACATCCCAAAGTGTAAACATTGCTATTTTAGTTTGTCTCAAAACAAGTGTCCACTTTCCAAAAGTAAGCATCTACTTTCCAATTCTACCCTTGGTATGAGATGGAGAAGTTCATTACTCCCTCTATTATTAAGGGTGAATCAACATTTGGTTTATTAAAAATGTAATGATTACACATTTCTATATTGTCTCTTTTTCATTTATTYTGGGACGGAGCGACTTACCCCCACATACCGACCTAAGTACACATGGGGGTTCAAAACAAGCAAGTAAAACTCATTTTGGAATGACACAAAGGTTATATCAGTAAATGAATATAGCCCAATACCCACAAAATCACTCTTAAGCTATCATTGACATAGCTCCATTCCACAGCAGCAAAGCTAYTCCACAGTATTCATAAGAACAACCTTCTAATAGAAGAAAAGTGAGAACACATTTTACTACATCAGAAAATGGAGGTCACAGTTATAATGGCAAATTAGAAGGGAAGTGAAAAAGTAATCAGAACCATGAAGTGAGCTAAGGAAACAATACTATGGTCAGAAGGACACAAAACACTGATATTCTACATTCTATAAGCAAGGGTTGATATGAGGTGGAACTTCACATCAAGCATGTGGTTGACTCTCTTCGTGAATATATTTTGTATAGTATATGTGTATGTGTGTCCCTTGCACTTCCACTGTTGGCTGTAACATACAAATCCGAAGAAGGAATATGAAGATCTTTATAGCAACTTCCCAGACAAAACAGGGGAGAGGCACAAGGGACATTTTTTTAGGGTTAGGAGCATAGTACACACCCAACTACACCAATGACAACATGGTGATGAACCAGCTAAAAAMGACGGAAGCCCTCAAACTGTGAAAAAAATACCTTCAATTTCTCCCTTTTAATAATTCGTTCACAGATAAGCCGTAATCTTTCCAATTCGACCTGCAAACCATACAACAAGATTGATTAGAGTTCCATGATTTCAAATTCATAAAAAAGGAAAAACGAAAGCACAAGCTTTCTGCAAACAAACCTAACCTGAAGGCTTGAATATAGATCAAGACACCAAATGTGAAGCGGATAAAACTCAAAAAAGGTTGGAATGAAGATAGATGATTTGTATATGCATGTACCCATTAAATGACAACACATGCACACCAATAGCATATATTTCACCAGATGAAATGTTCGTACAATGTGATCTAAATGAGATAAGATAAAAGTTGCTTATTATCAAGCAAATGCCCAAAATCGCAAGTGCACATTCAAATTATACAGATATTAGAGACCAAAACGCCTGGCAACGATCGCTGGGGCAATGGGCATTTTGATCAATAAAACATTGCAAATTGAAAACAATGCAATTATTGTGGACAGACAAAGAAATTTTGCAATTTATGAGATGAGAAGGATGGAGTAGTAGACTAAACAGATAGTCGATGTAACAAAGAATCACCAAACAAGCAAATGTAAACAGAGAACWAAGATCTCAGTGTAGAATATAACAAACCAACTTGAAGTTGAAAGTAACAAAGTCCCAGCAAACTCATAGAAAGCACCRTGAACTCACCCTAACTTTCTTCAGAGAATTCCATTCTTCAACTCCATGTTTTTGAGTCTCAGCCTAGCATATAGAAATAGAATAATTATTAGAAACTAGAGTGACATTTTATTACAGGAGGAACAGAAAAGAAAGAACATAACAATCAAGGTAATAAAAAAAAAAGATTTCACCTTTGTCCTCTCCACCAGGCTATGCTTCTCACAGTAAGCCTTGTGCTGTATCTTTCCACCAGTAGTTCTCACATTCATGAAGAAGCCAGCACTTCTACCACAAGAAGGATGAAATGTGCTTTGACAGTGCCCRTAATTGCACTGTGGGTAATGTTAAGAATCAGTTTATCAATGAGGACTAGATTAATGAAAAAGAAACAATATGCAAGTTGGGAGATGCAAAAAAACGCATTTAGCCTCACCTTTATACAGACACCCATTTTGCGACTGCAAACAAGGCAAAAGTCGTTCCCCCTGGAGATTGTTTCCTGGCATCATGACGTGACATGATTAAAGTAAACAAGAGACCACCAAGATTATCCTAACTAGCAAAGACTATACAAAATAGCATCATATGCTATAATGACAGTCTTCATTTACTTGTGATCTATATAAAACTGAACTAGCTTCCTTTAAATCAACACTTATTATATACATACCAGGCCTTCAATGGATTTCACCTGCCCCCTTCTGAATGTTGATTCTAGAACCCACTACATCAAAAAAATCAGAACAGAAAAATGAATTAATTCAAATTACCYTACTTACAAAAGAAACACGATTAAGAATCATATTAAATCAGYATGTAAATAGTCAAAAAGGAAGAACAAAACTTTACTTCAGCACAGAAGGCATGGACCCATTGACCATCAGTTGACTTCCGAAAGGCACCAGTACTGCCACCACATAAGATACATTCCGCTACACGACATGGCTTCTCGGAATAACCCAAAGATGGAACTCCCCTGCTTCTAGATGACAATAGATCTTCACATAACTCACAAAACCATGGACCTGTAGAATCTTTGACACTACGATAACAATCAATGTGAACTGCAACCTGTTAGCAGATAATATGCTGTCAGCTGTCGGCTCTCAGCCTAGGACATGAAGAGAAAGAAATAAAACAGAGCMTTCACATCAAGCATTAAAGAATAAGACCTTGCAATTAGAACACACAATAATTGGGTTCAAAATCGTCTCTGCCCGTCTACAAACGTCACAAACCCTGGAATGCACTTTATAGTCCAAAGTTGATGAAGAAGAATCGAAATTCATTTCAGGTGAAGTCCATGTCACAGACAACTTGGGATGTATTTCCTTCGGTCGTGGCATTTGTTGAGCATGAATTCCAGATCTCCCACCAAAAGCTTTTATTTTCAATACATTCTGAAGAGAAAATAAGGATCAAAATAGCTTACTTCCATGAAGATATATCATATAGCTACTATAATAGTTCTGTGAGTTAATCTCCCTGAGAAAGAACCATACTGTTACTTAACAAAATAACCACCTCTTGGTGTGCCGATTCATCAACTGTATCTTTCCTGAAAGACGAAAGCCTGGATGAAGCTGCTGCAGCAGCAGTTGCAGCAGCAAGCACGGCCTGAGCTTCCTTGTGCCTTCTCTCTTTTCTCCCCTGTTTTTTGACTTCTCTAAGCTCAGAAAGATACTGGCTCACCAACACAGCATCCCAGTTTTGTCTTCTTAGAGCTTCAACCTCTTGTGGAAGCCACTTCACAACCTTAGAAATCAAACCATCTGCATGTAGCACATAAAAGAAGACAATAGTCTAGTCAGACATGTATATACAGCATTTCAATTATGAACATGATCTCAAGGGTATAGAATTGGGCACTGCAAGATGAAGATGCAAAAACGCTAAATGCACAGAATAGAAGACAGACCACTTAAGTGCTTTCTTGCAACTGCATTACAAAGTAGCCGATGCTGATAATAAACCAGTTCTCCTTCCACTTCATCCATCGGAGACATATTTATGATGCTCATCCGCTTAGTTTTTCCCAGGTCCCTTATGAACCCACTACTTGACTCAGTAGAGGCTGAATTTTGATTGTGGTGATTGCAACAAACTCCAGAACCAGAGGATGCCTCTGTCAAAGAAATATGTCTGCATCTTGAACCTGTTACAGAAAGTGAGTAACAACATCACAAAATAACTGTTGAGAGATATGTATGAGGCATGATCGTACCATCATCCTCCTCAGCTTTGATCTCAGACAAAACTTGATTTTGCACACGTATAAGCGGATGCACATAAGAACCAGGTGAAGCTTCTGCTCTACTGCATTACCAGATATCTAGATATTGGTAAAAGTCATGCAGAACCAAATAATCACAAACATACAAAACAAACACAAGGATTCACTAAAACACCCCCTTATTCCGATACTTAGTAAATTACGAAAATCAAAAATTTCAGAGCTTACATGGCATAMGAACTCTCATTCATAGCAATTGAACATTCATCGCTCCCCAGATTGGATTTTTCCCTGGTATCACACTTGGAGACAACAGCCTTATCAACTTGACCACAGCCGTACTGGCTAGGGCWTGAGCACTTGACACCGTCACCTGAAAAAAAGTGGTAAATGTGTTCAACAACAWAAGAAAACTTAACAAGGATGCAAAGCCAAATACACAGTACATTTGAATCATTATGCTAACAATAGTTAGGGCAATCATTCTTTCCAAGTCTCATAATTCTCAGGAAGTATCATTTCAAAGATGGGTTGATCTTTTTGCAACTTTAATTTGGTCAAAGAAAAAAGAAATTTGCACAGCTAAAGCATTGCATATACCAGCATGTTTTCAGAAGGAACAGTCGTCACAACCAGTCGTTAAAATTGCATGACTAGAGAATAGTACAATTCGATATCAATAGATGAAGTGAAGGATGTGAATCTTAGTAGCAAATGAAAATCACGTCTTAATCATCATCATATCGGCAAATCACCCATGTACACTGATAACTGAATCGTATTTACATAATTCRACGAGTTTCACCCTAGGTTTCTTATCTTACTTTTTTGTGGATGTGGGTAGACATTGATCCAAAACCTATTAGTAACCAATGAATAGAAAGAAAAATTGTGCCTGGTAAAACTCAATGACTAATGGGAAAAGACCAATTTGATCCATAATTCATGATCACAGAGAAGTGCTATACAAACTACTATGCTCAATTTGATTCTTTAATTGAACACTACAACCGCAACTAGGTCAATCTTCAGTTTACAAGGGATACAAAAGCCAACCAGTCAGGGGTGGACTTCAAAGAAAATTTATCTCAAACATTCAGTCAACTGCGACTAGCAGTTAGACATTGTCCGTGCATGGAAAAACTGTGWTCTATGTACCGACGACTGAATTATAGGAACTCCAAATAAAATCCGCTAAGAGAAACAAAACAAGGCACCATAAACTGGGACTGCACCTTTATGGTCAGAAGTATTGCCGGTCAATAGATCAGAAGCCTGACAAGATTCAACCAATACCTGCAGAAAAAAATATGATAAGCTGTTGGATATTTTATACAAAAGAAAGATGATTTTTCGGGGAATCATTAAATAAATAATTTACACATCAACTCCTGTTAAGTGAAGGAGCCTTAAATTTTTMAATGTGAACTGTAACAACATAACGGTAGAGCACTTCATTCTAAATCAGCAGGTAGAACATTACAAAACATATGATGAATTTTACCAATAGCTCCAACAAATACCCATGCCAAACACTTGTACAAGCACTGGCTGTGAGAGAACTCRCATCATTGAAGAAAATCATGTAAAGATCGTTGCTGGGGTGCACCCAAAGCACAGCTCCAGAAGGTAARGGAATGTATTTTAGCACTTGCCAATCTACGCATTTCTCTCCATAGCCAAGAAAGCCGAGTGATCTTTTTTTCTCTAGCTCAAATCACTACCTCTTCACTTACAGCAAACGAGATACTTCGGTAGTAGGAAGATTTAATATTTGATTATGTTAACTGGRATATCATCTATCACTCTAAATGCATACTCTCGTCAAACGAAATAAGAACGTGCAATTACCTTTATATGAGTCAAAAAGTACAAGCATCATTGGTTGTGTTCCCACCACCAAGTACCTTACAAGGTACCTCGAATCACATTTCTGAGTCTATCCCAACCCACTATAAAATGTCTTAGTTGCTAACTCGCCATATGAGTCAGGTACTTAAAACTATCTATGAGAAGTTCACTGACTTGTATGTAATTGGTCACACACATGCATTGCCAAGACCACATGCATTGCCAAGACCAATCTACGAGAACTACCCAGCTAGCATGTCACTTGGGAAGTAGTCTTCTGCAAGAGCAAATAGAGAACATGTAATGGGAAACCCTACAAATCCACAACACCATCAATTCCTCTTATTTGTCTTGATTATCATGAGCTTAAAGGGAATATGAATCGCAATAAAAACTGCGTTCATTTATAGCAATTTCTCATCAACAAACCAATGGTAGATAMACATGTATGGTTGTTACTAAAATACTGGGTATCAATATCCACAAAAAGAACAAAAAACAACACAAGGTGCTCATAAAATTAAGAATCTGATCCCACTTACAACGGATGTGGATCATCTCAAAAAATTGAACTAAAAAACATCACCTCTAGATTGACTTGAAAGGCTGAAGAATTGAACCAAAACCATGACTGAAAGGATAACAATAATGTGCCCTCTAAACATGGCCTAGATGACCTAGACTCATACAAGTATAACATCCTTGCCTCCTAAGTACGGGTATCAACAACGGAATATCAGTACTTATCCATACAACAAGAAGTAAGGAATCTACATGAACCGTGAAAATAGTGACTATTAATCAAAGGGTCAATGGCCCAGCAGTAGCSGGGTTATCGGTAGAGCCCAGCTTCCCAGAAGATCAGGACCTCATCAACGGTGAATAGTGTGTGTGAGCGAGTATTACCTGGATATAAATATTATATACTTCAAAAAAATAGTGAATATTAACCAGCAACACAAGACCAATGATTTCTACCAACAAATATCTACAAACAAACCGTAAAAGATCAACCATCTTAACATATTAGATCAAATATTTCCAGAAATAAACATATTAACCATATCTGATTAGCACATCATATATTTTAAACTCTTCAATTAGAACAAGAAAGCATATTATCAGATTCTCAAAGCAGCCAACATTCCATAATCCTAAGCATAAAGGGACAAAATCAGGTAATTATAGCTAAAGTTAAATATAGAACCATGTGACAACCTTTTCCCTGGAATCAGGAGAAGTCTCTTCACTTTGCAAGTTCCGGTCTTCATGGAGAAGCCCGCCATTTTTATCCTCATCCATCACAACGCCATCTCCAGAACTCCTTTTAAGAGACAATATAAGACTGTTGTCCTTCAGCACCCTAATATTGCCTTTGGTTCTCCTCCGGGGTGGTGCCGACTTAACAGGAGAATTTCCAACATTGTTGTCCGATGCTCTAATAGCATTTTCAACACCAGAGTCTTTCTCAGACTTGGATATGCATGTGGACATAACTTTAAGCTTCAAATTTTTCTGCAAGCCACCAGCATGAGCATGATTTTTAAGCCATTTAACTATTTTTCCATGCAAGTCAAGAGGCAAGCAGTCATCCTGTAAGAGAAACAAAAATCCCACAAAAGAGGCAGCCATAAGGAAGGGAAAATGTAAGCAACTACAAAAAGAACTAAGTTCTTGATTTTAGAATATTTCGGATGATATGATAAAAGTAAAACTCATCAAACATAGCATTACAGCGAGATTTGATGCCAACATATTAGCAGAAACATTCATCTCTGAGGCCACATCTTTCATATTGACTTTTCCTCGCTCAATCAGCTACACAATCAACACATATGAGCAAAACTGTTATATGTGAAGTTTTTTTAAGTAGCAAATATTTCAAGAGTATTTAGTTTACCTTCTTCAGAAGTAGAGTAAAATTAGAAGAATCAGACACTTTAGAATCTTCAACAGYGCTGCTGCCTTTAGCCTCCAGCCCGTCGATGTATTCTATTTGACGTTTAAGGTTTGACCTAGTATCCAGCAACCCATCTTCAAAAGATGCACTGCCACCCAGTCTACCACTCTCTACATCAGTTGCTTCTGTATGGGAAGCGAATTTATCACCAGTTCTACGTCCAAGTTTTAGCTTATGTGGTTCATTTGCAATAGAAGATAATGGCCTATGCTCCAGAAAGGTAGAAGAAGATCCATCTCCTACAGACAGGTTTTCCACTTGATGGTTGCAGTCTTTTTGGGCCTCAGAATGTTTTAAGCAAAAAGCTCGCAACTCAACCTATGTAAATTAGCAAACAAAAAGCATGACACAATATTTTAAAAAAGTGAAAAGAGGAAGCACAAAAGGAAAAAGAAACACAAAGCATTTAATATATAAGGATGACAATAGTACATTTCTCGTTCTAGTCTCAATGGAACTAAGGAAGATAAATGAACTTACATCATCACATCCGAATTTCCCCCAAATTTCCATTCTGTGTCTTGCTTCCCTCGCACATACAGGATGGAAAGAAGTTCGACAAGATCCTAAGCATGTACCAAAAAGGAAAAGATATTATAGTTCACACACAATGGATGTTATCAGAAGAGAGCCCTAGAGGAATGACAGGGTTAAAGAAACCGAAAAAGTTATTTAAAAAAAATACATTGTAAGCATGGACTATCACATTCGAAGTCAAATGTAGCATTTTATGTGACAGAATAACGCTTTAATATTAACAGGAYACAAGTAACATTAAATGATATGAATAATTTTCTTTGCAACTTTGATTAGAAATAGTATGGGAAGACTAAGAAATCATTACACCTAAGTTGAACGTAATGTGCGGCAGAGAAAGACATGAAGATAAGAACAACTCTGAACACTTCAGATAACTTCTTTTATTGAGATTGCAATCATTAAGAACCCCTCTGGACGAACTGAAAAGTACGTGGGGATATCATCCTACGATGTGGAAATGCTACACTAAAGAGAAAACCTAATGTTAGGTTTTGACAATTTCCAATTTTTCATTAATATAGGGCACATAAAAGCCACATCATTAGGCAAGAAAACTCCAACCGATTTTTCTTGAGTATAAGATATCCCTCTAAAATTTAGATACTTCAACATCAGCTTTCAGAAAGATGTAAATAACCACTCACAAGACAACAGATCAAGCATATAAATAATAACTCAACATACACAAGAAGTCTACAGAAGAAGAATTGGAAGAACCTGTTACACATATAGATAGTAGGGATAATAGTGGGCTGGTCAATTAGTCAATTGTGGGAGGCTGGTCGTTGTTAGGAGAAGTATAAATAGGAGGGTGGAAGCATGTAGGCATCGGTTTTGTATTTTGTAATTGGAGGAGAGCCTCTCTGGAGAGAACCAGCTCTCTCAAAAAGCTGGAAATCAATCTGTAAGTGTTTGATTGTTAAATAAAGAGGAACGGTATGCAACAGAACCACAGGATCTTGACATTTGAAAAAAGTTCCCATCTTTCTTCTTGACAATTAAACATATACTATAACCTAAGAAAATTTTGATTTACAATATATCACTTAGAGTTTGTTGAATTCAGGTTGCACCAGCAGTCAAATCAACATTCCCTGAACCACATAAACATATACCACCTTCATCTTTCTGAGATACATTTTACACATGCACTTCGAAACCAAAGAGGTCTATGTTTACTGAATACTGAGCAAACAAACCARGCCCTTCTTTCAGAAGGAAATTACAAAGATCATGGTAAGCAGGAAGAAACCACATCTAAATGGTAGATTATCCCAAGGTGTTAAAACATGAACTGATAAATTGGTAAGCTTACCAACCATCGACAACACGTTCATGCACGTGTACCTCTAATTTTGTTCATATCGATGGAACACCTTTCTAAAACTTAAGCCGTCAACTAACTGCCAAGTGTTCCTTCAAAAGTTTGATTAGTTAAAGCTGCTTGACCACCAGCTTAGGAGTTGAGAACAGCCTACCTCTTGCATTAACAACTAATTACTAAATTAAGCATCTATAACAAATTTATTAGGATTAAATCAGCTTTCCTCAACTTATTGGGAACCTTCCAATCTTTTCCGAGCCGATGTCTCAATGAAATAACCAAAATGGCCAACTAAATAAGTAATTGTATCAATATACTATAATATCATATGTAAATATAATTATAATTTTTCATATTTCAGTGAGCCATTCATGCTTCAGCTTATGCATCATTGCATCCACTTAAGCAGGAAAAGTCACTCAACCCACTTAGCTCCCCTAACCCTTTTTAGAACACTGTAACTCAATGGCTTTGACTTGGGTTGTTCGTAAATCTGATTAAAGTTAATCAAGATTCAAACAAAAATGTAATGGTTCATTTTTGCTATATATTTGATTACTTAACCTTCTCATTAGTTTCAATGAAGTCTCATGGCAACTTTTTTCTATATATACTACCACAGTATATATCATTAAAAAGTACGCTTTCATGGTCTTTTTACATACATCTACAGGGATTCTTGTTAGTTCATATAGACACAATCGTTCCTAACTTTGCAAACACAATGATTTATGTACAAACTTATGCCCTAATCATCCACAGTCCTCATGAACAAGACTTGCAGCTTCATTTACGAGGTACTATGCAAATACATCCATTCCATAAAATGTAATACTAAAAGAAGTAAAATATATAATTAGAAGTTAACAAAAAAAAATCTAAGCACCCATGGAGCACCAACAAGTTCTGACAACATACTATTGGGGTTCTGAACTACAGCAATTGTACACTCAACTTTAATGATTAGCTTAACAGATAACAGCACATATTGTCTCTTTATGCAATGAATAGCACGAAGCAATAGCAAAATTTGTTTTTGTTTAGTCTAGGGATTAACAATGCCAAGGAAAGAATTACTGCAATTCAGCTGCAARATAAGAGAATTAACAGCTTCATGGAAGACAACCAGCAATACTTTATTCCATGCCAAAAGATGCTCATTAAGCATATAAGCACCGCCTGTGGATGCTGATATGCAAACTTCTTAGAAATATTAATTTTATTGGTACAAGGAATATTGCATTAAAGTAGAATCAGAATTCATTTCACCATGTTAAAACATTGATCTATATACTTGCTTTTACTTAATTTTCTTTCTTTACCAACCACACCTCCCTAGTCCCTCCACCCAACAACAGACCATGTCCCTTGTTCCCCAACCCCATCCACTGTTCTGCACCAGCTGTGCAGCCACTTATCCACCTTCACTGCTGCAGAGAGAAACCCATGCACTAACCCCCAAAAAAAACGGACATGCTCACAGGCCAAGAAGCAATGCAGAACAGTATAACATAAGCAAACTAAATAACTAATAGAAACAGACTATCCAATAGCGAACCAGATGAGTTAACATGTTGTGTAACACATGATTAGCAGATATAAATTGCACATGTTTCATATATTGTTATGCAATCTATCGTGAATAAAATTTTATTTTGTAAAAAAAGAATCCTCCAACCAGTAGATGTTATTAAAATATTGGCTAATGGCATGCGTGTAAGAGAAAATAAAATAGTGCATGACCGAAGCTAATATGCAAATTAGTTATGCCACTTATCATGAAGAAGAACAAAAGAATCCTYCAAATCAACACAAGTTACTAAAATATTGGCTAAAGGCATTCTTGTAAGAGAGAGTAATATAATGCATGACAGAACATCAATATGCAAATTGGTTATGGACTTATGGTGAGCTGAACAAGCATAACAAAACCAAAATGGAGCACATCGTGTACCATGCATTGCTTTCAAAATCATCTTTAAAAAATCAAATATAAAAAAACAAAAATCAACAATATTGCATCRAACATTTTTCCAGCTGAAGCACCACATAACTCCTAGTCCAATCAAAGAAAACATATCAACACACAGATGCTTCATTTCTTAACAAAATATTCCTTGGGSTTTAACTATTACTCCAGCATTAGGATAAAAATTGAAGCAGACTTGTATTGTATTGCATATACTTCATTCATACAATGTTATTTCGCAATCATTTTGTATGTTACAGTACCTACAGGCTACATCACTACATGTTAAGTTAATTGCTCCAAAAAACTTAATGGTACTGCCACTTTCTTTCAACTTGCAAGTCTAGTGATTCTCCATACTATCTATCCTAAGGCAATACTAGAAAGGATGAACTGTGCCACTTAAATATAGTATTTTTTTAAGCACATTACATATAAAAATAAGAAAAAACCGAAGCTACAAATCTTCACAACATTAAACAATGCACAATAGGACAAAACAATATTAACTTATGTAAATGACATTTTKCCATATGATTAAGATCCATTTCAAAAGCAATGACTTTGCACTTCTATGTGCAGGTATATGTAAAGCAAATCTTGATTGTCTTATAATTGCTTATGAATAATTAAGTAGAGGGTCTACCATATTGCCAACATATCGATACATAAGGCCCCTAATAGCACTTCAACCAAAGAAGTTCCTCCTCATACATTCAATAGTAGCCAACCGGTAACGTTAGCTACCCAACCTTGATCTAGTAATTGAGATCAAGATAGCTAAGAATCTAGACTAGCCCCTTTGAGACAGTCTTCATCTTCAGTTCCAAGACACATAAAGATGTATGAAGTAAATTATTTCCAAATCTTTTTTTATCCAAAAGGCCGTTCAGAACCTAGTGAGTCAGTGATACAAGCATTATACTCAATTTTCATTCATAAGACAACACTAAAAGAACCGAGAATTCTATTTGATTATAAGCAGTTAATTAGTATTATGAGCACACAATTAATTATTTGTTGATACGCTCAGCCGCCAGATACATACAACTCTATAAAAATGCTAGGGTAAAATAATTTGTTCGTTTCTATCTGGCTGCAAATCCACTTCCCTTGATGAATTTGGCTGGCTTGATCTTGTGACCAAATTAAAACTTAAGTGACGCATCAAAGACTGGTTATAAGAAAACAGGAAGGTATAAATAGAAAAATACAAATATTTTTTAACCATCCTCTTCTCCTCATACAAATTCATGTTTYTCTCAGATTGATATTGTTGCTTTTCATGCGGTTGCAGGTTGTTACATTTTATTGCTATTTTTTATGCATCTGCTTATTCAATGATATCGATTCTGGACTTCTGGTTACTCTGTGATGTAACTGAACTGATAACGGTGTGCCTTGTTCCTGAGCATGAAGAGCCATTGCCCCCTGATCTAACTACATTAAATTGACTCTAACAWATATAGCTTAGGAGCTTGAACTTGGTTGTCACTTGCTAAAAGCAAAAATATGATGGTTCCTCTCAACACAAATGATAGCGAAAACATTATGGATAAGTTTGAGATCGTCAAGAACTTGGAGATTGTGATTTATTCATAATCAATTAAATTTGCGACCCAAATTACATGAACATAAAAATACGACAAAAACAAAAAGTTTGGATGATAACTGGCTGACAAGATTGAGTGCTTTTGATCTTTCACCATTGTTCTCTCCTCACCCTCTCTGTTACCCTTTTAATTACCATAAACCATAAGTCCATGACTAATTATTCAAAGAGGATAAAACTTGATCAGAGCCTTGATCAGATCCTTATCAGATACTGCTTCATAAAATGGTTGGTATCACTACTAAGGGATTTCACTTAACAAAATCAAGTTCCCTGTTTTAATTAAATGATATAACATATATGTAATACTTCCGACCAACTATCAAAGAATGGCTAGTTTCTAGTAGCCGAACTTCAGTAATGGAAAACAAAGCATCTTTCTCTGAAGAGTAATGTATACAAATAAACCAGATTAGGCTAACAGACTTGGGATGTAGTCAAACATATGTTACTTCCTTTTGCTTATTTTAATCTACAAGTAAAATCTACATAGTACTAGTAGAAAAAACAATTTGYAAGACATTCCCTTGGATATAGTACTAAAACATACTGATAGAAGAATCTTGAATTGAAGTTATAGTATGTATCAGTAACAACAATAGAAAAACTTCAATCATATACTGTACCGCACCATTGAAAAAGGAAGAGTGAAACGGATGTGACAACATACCATAACTGCAACGAACACAGGCGCCACATTTGACCTTGCATAGATAACAAATTAGCTTCTTCTGTGTCTCCTTAATGCCCTCAATGTTCATAATAGGTTCCATGCTTTTGGTGTCCTCTATGTAGACMTCAGGCATCCACTGACAACAAAACAAGTGAGCAAACTCGATGTGGCCGCCATCATCATTCCCAGCACCTCTCTTCCGCACAGGCTTTAGAGCACCACCCTGCTGCGGGCAAAGCAGACAATGGTTATCAGTACTTTTATCTTCATCCCTCTTCAGYCTACACCAAGAGCATAACCAGCAGCCAGCTTCATCATCTTGCTGCACACCGTAACATCTTTGATGAACTGCTACACCACAAGACGTGCAAACAATCAATCTGTTCAACTGATTGCCCATGTCGCCCAGACTGCAATAATGACAGCACGTAGATGTCCCTTGCTCTTTAACTGGACGAGCAACAAAAAGCTTYTCCAAACCTGCCTCCCCACCCAAGAGTTTTCGTTTCTTAGAAGGCCGCTCGGAGGTCAAATATATCTTACTTCGAGAGCCTAAAAGCCATTCCACTCCACTAGAGGATTGAGGTAAAGAACATGAATTGTCATCGTCTTGTTGGTTTTGTAAAATTTCATTAGCACCTACGCCATCTACTTCCATGAAGTGGTCTACATCCTGCTGCTCCCCACCAGCAACAACGCCACTATGATTATTTGTTTCGTTCAAATTATTTCCGGGATACGGAATTGAAATGAACCTGTTGTCCCTAAAAGAAGAGGCTTCATTTAACCTCTCAATATCATCCACCCTCAATTCCCTGAAGTAATCCTCTGTTTCAGACCAAATACTCAGCCCACGAGGCTTCTCCTGCCTGGAAGAAGACTTGTTTTTCTTGGTGTCTGAGCCCAAATGTGACTTCTTATGGCGCTTACGACTGTCAGCATTTTTCGATAAGCAACTGGCCAAACCACCAGGAAGTGTCGGAACAATAGCTGAACTCTTCTTCTGTCCATCTTCCAAATCAAAAGGCGAGAGAACCGCGAGCGCCTTACAAGCCTGTGCGTAGAAATCTATACCTACTACTTGAGCCAGTGGTGCGTCTTTATGTTCCGGTGAGAACTTGTTTGAAACCCTAGAAGTAGAAACTGGGCAATGTTTTTCCTCAGTGCCGCAACCTCCGTTGGCACTTCTACCCATCATCTTCTTCCGCCGGTGACATCGTCCTCTAGTCATTGCACCAAACCACCACCGTCCATGCAGCGTTCCATGTCAACAAATCCTTCGCAACCCTAACCCTAACCCTAACCCTAATTTTCGAAAACCCCTAACCCTATCTCCAAAATCCAGCCTCCCTACAACGAATCTAGATAAAGTAGGTCGGTCGGTCGGTCGGTTGGTTGGTTGGTTGGTTGTATAGAGATGAAATCCTCCTCCTGCGGCCAAGGCTAGGGTTTTCTGTCATTCGCGATTTTGGATTGGATCCRTCGTTGTTCTTGATAAAGTGGGTGGGTATCCCTTTTTGCAGTTCGATTTAGCTGTCCATTTTTCTATTATATATAATATAAATATAAATATAAATAATAAATCTATATACAAAGTGAACCAAAAGGAATACRAAAATATCCCTAACCGACTTCTCTTCCTTCTCTCTCTTCTTAAATTGTCTTTTCTTTTCAGAATTAAATTGTTAAAAAAAATTAAGATATTTAAATAGAATTGAAATTCGTTTTGATTTGGGYTTTGTATCTACAAATTCACGTATCAGTTATGTTAAAATATAATTCTAGAGATATTTTTACAGTATCTTTGATGTATATTAAAATAGATAAAAGTGAGAGAAATTAACTTAAATGACTATTGTCCTTATTCAAATTAGTTTTTTAACTATTTCTCTTCTAAATTGAACCAAATTTCACTACTTCTGCAATATACATATCAAAGACAAAAATAATTCAAATGATTTATAGTCTTGRAATATAACTTTATTTTAGTTATTTGAACTTTGTTAGAAAGAAATTAAATTCCAATAAGTATCTCRAATTTTGTAAAGAGAAATCGACCGAAATGGTTATTTCTCTTATATGGATGGTCTCCTAGCCATTCATCTTCTAGGTTTTGTCCAAATGTCACTACCTCCACAAATGGTACCTCCTCTACTTGCGGACCTAGCTAAAAGACAAAAAAATACAATTTTTACTAGGTCCACAAGTGGTACTACCCCCACTTGCGAACCTGGGTGAAACTTGTGAAAGTGCCACTTGCGGACCAAGGTAGAAATTGCAATTCATTTTGTCTTTAGCTAGTTCCGCAAGTGGAAGAGGTACCACTTGTGAAGGTAGTGACATTTGGGTAAATTAGGGAGATGAATATCTAGGAGATCAATTTATGAAAGAAAAATGGCTATTTYAGCCAATTTCCCTTTCATAAAAGGTTGATTTAATCACTATATTACATATTCGATGGAATTATATATGATTCCTTGTATAGTCTTTTATAATAAACAAAATCATCCCAYAAGTTTCAAAACCCTAATCTTCTAATCAAATTTATATATATGACAAAATTAAATTACATTCCTTGTATAATCTTTTCCWCAAAATTCAAAAACCTAATCTTCTAATCGGATTTATGCCACAGTTGTTTGTCCCTTAACTGGCTTATCTACTCCTCTCTTGATGCCAACTCTWGTTTGATTGGTTGTAATGAATTACCTTGCTTAATACAACTAGATGGGTCTAGCAATAGTTTATGTTGGTCTCAACCATCAGATTTGTAAATAATACATTTAGCATCCGATCAAACACTTGAAAATAAATTCGTATACATTTTTCTTACAATAAAAATATATGATGAACTACATTCATCGGATGTAACACCAAAGRATTAACATCTGAACCTTAAGCTCAAGCTTTTGGATGTTGAACATTCATCRGATCCCCGACTTATTTAAAATGTGAGATCAAATCTTTCGTCTTGAATATTTTTCGTTCGATTTGGAGAATCTGATTGACACACTCTTTGCTTATTCCATCTTRAGTTTCAAGAACCCACATTTTATATCAAGTCATTTTAGAATCTAATAAATCAACTTCATAAATGTTCTAAAGCTGGACAATCCAATTTATAGCTTATGTTTTGGAATAGAACAAGATAGGATTTTTACTTGTAAAGTCTTTTTTTTTATAGGGAGGGGGGAGACCCCTCCAGATCAAGGCAAAAACATTAAACACAAAAACAACAAATAACGCGCTCGGGTGGGGGCGAACCACATCCACCAGAATATCCAAGGCACCCCGAGGGGAAAAGAGAAGAAGGAAGAAAGCAAAGAAGAAAGAAGAGANAGAGAGAGAGAAGGAAAGGGGAAGGAAGAAAGGAGGAAGGAAAGAAACAGAGAGAGGGAGAGAAAAGAAGAAAGAGAGAAAGAAGGGGAGAGAGAGAAAAAAAGCCAACCACAAGGGAAGGGCCCAGCCAAGCCAAGACTGGGAAGCAATGGRGGTACTTGTAAAGTCTTGTAACTATCTGTATTGATCCAAGAACAAAATGCCTTCAACAAAAACGAAGACTAGTTRAMGTTAGGTCAAGATCGTCAAYAAAGAGGATTGGTTTGTCATATAGACAAAAAGAAGATCAATACAAGATAAAATCAAATAGTAGTCTGACAAATATTACTATTACTACTAGGAAGACGGATTTTGGAGTGTAAGYTTATCTAGCAAGTTTGGCTCACCAACTCTTCCAACACTTATCCTAGTATGGGAACATACATAACATGTCAGCCAAAATAAGTTCTTAACACTATTTTATTAGTGTCATACATGGAACAGGATAACAAGTTTCTACATCAACCATAAATGTTGAAAAKAAGAGTACAAGCATGATGAATCAACAAATCAGATGAAGACGTACGTTGAAGTTGAACAATATTATTTAATGTAATGGTGGCTATATAAGGTYACCCTTGTCGTTTATCGTTACTCCCCCGTTTCATATAACTTATATGTGATAGTTTCTTAGGCARAATTGGCGTTAACATCTGAAAAATTATCTTAGTCYTTCATATATGAAAGAGTACATTCTTCTCACTTTTAGTTTTAGCAAATTTGTCACATGTCAAMTTGTTTAGGATCACATGTTTTACCTTCCTAGCTTCTACAAWAAATTTGTATTATTAGAAGAAATCTTGAACATGAACCAGAAAATAATAATCCACCTTTGGACGAGGCACAAAATATCATTAGGCTCGCAAACTCTAAAAATGGAGGTATCATGGACTATAAGATTCATGTTTTGTCCCAGTTACATACGRGAATTGTAAAACCCACTATGTTGCCACCCATTTTGAATTTAAGCCAGTGATGTTTTAGATGTTACAAACTAACGGCCAATACGCTGATTTGCCRTCTGAAGATCCTCATTCTCATTTGAGATCATACATGGAAATCACAAATTCATTCAATATCCCTGGAATCACAGATGATGCTTTGAGACTTAAACTTTTTTTCATTTTCATTAAGGGTTGAGCTAGAGATCGGTACAATTCTCTATAACCAGATTCTGTGACTACATGGAACCAAATGCTAGAGAAATTTTTAAATTTTTTTTTTCACCCAAGAGGAATGCTGAATCCAGAAATGAAATTTGCACTTTTGAACAAATGGATGATGAAGCAGTTCATGATGCATGGGAAAGGTACAAAGGGCTACTGAGAAAATGCTCACAYAGTAGCATTTCGTACWACATATAGCTAGAGAYATTTTACAATGGTTTAAATATTGTTTCTAGACAAATGCTTGATGCTACTGCGGCAGAGCTTTCACAGCTARTACCTACAATGAAGGTTTTRACACACTTGAGAAGATTTCTAACAGTAATGGACACTSGACAGACCCACGTGCACTGGTACCTAGAAAAACATCAAAGCCTATGTTGAAAGAACAAATGGAAAGTTGTTTTACCCCCTCATTGATCCACAAGTTGATGCATAAGACCCAGGTGTTAGCCTTACCTACAAACCCGATGTCTATGGAAAAAACTTCCATAGACAAGAAGAATTTGGACAGACTTCTAAGAGTGAATGCAAAGGCCCATCCTGAAAACAAGAAGTTCTGCAATGGCTACTTTGAAGACTGAATTGTCGAAARCAATGGAGGAGCATTACAATGCTTTAAAGCAGACTATGTTGAAAAAGCATCACAAGATGATGAAAAGGGTAGCAAACTTGAAGAAAGAGGTGGATATTTTGAAGAAAGAGAGAATGCAATGGGCAGAATACMAGCTACAGAAGGAAAGAATCATGAGGGATTCTCTAAAGCATGGCAAAGCAAGGACTGCCATTAAAAAAACCTCCACCAAAGTCCATCTTGCTGCAGCACTCAGACTCTCCTACTCAATCTGAGTAGGACAACTTTTATCCCCTCCCYACTTTGTATATTAATTTGTTGTTTAAAACTCTTGTGTAGCTTATAAATGTTGCATGATCATTAGAACCATTTTTTTTTTAGTTTTTGTTGTTTGACCATTTTCTGTTTAGTTTTTGTTGTTTAGCCATTTTCTGTTTAGTCTTTGATGTTTAGACCTTCTGTTGTTAATTTGTGTTGTTTAATAGTTATTTTACATAAGAGATAATCCATCTCTTTTGGGTTATTTATATCATATAGATGTGGCAGATTATTTGACCCATTTGGGGCATTTGGCGTTTCAATTTGATGTGTTCACTTTATATTTCATTTGTTATTTTTATTTTTGGTCTTTCTTTGTTTTTATGACCTAGTATTTAGGTTGCCACATYTGYTTGTTACACTCTTACCTTGGTAAGTCTTATTTGTTGTTTTTAGAATAATCTTAGGATTAATTTCTGCTTAGCTAAGTACAAGCTTGCATGGGTGACTTAGCATGTTATTTGCTGTTTTAACCATCTTAAGGAATTCGAACAATGTTGCCCTAACAGTTGTTTGAACTGCTTGATGATCTTCTTTATTATTTGCCACATTTTGAGCTCTTGTTGTTTTAATTGTTGTTCTTTATGAATGACAGATCTGGGCCTGTGATTATCCACCATCTTATTATTATTTGTTGTTTTAATCTTATTTTAAGTCATTTCTGTTTGCTAAAACAGACCTTTTTAGTTTAGACCTATCTTCTGCGGTTTTAACAAATCTTAAATAGTCCAAACAATGTTGCTTTAACTGTTGTTCGACCTGTTTGATGACCTTCTTTATTGTTTGTCCCATTTGAGRCATTTTGATGTATTCCATCATGCAGAGTTGTTGTTTGATGTTCTTGTCAAATACAATCATGATTGTGCATCTGTGCTTATTGAGTCTATGGCGGACCTCTTTTTGAATGCATTATTCTGACMTGTCTTTGTTATATTATGGTCTACTCTATTGTTTTATAGGTTCTTATTGGCAGAAAATGCCTTGTATTGATGGTAACGCAATAATTTATTGGACTGTCTGTTGGTTGATGCTCATCCTTACTCTTAGGTCACTATGACCTAGAGTTAGATTTTTAGTWTTTAGCTTTGAGTCATTTAGTTTTAAAATGATCAAGTCATACTTGTGACTTATCATCTTTGCTTTTCTGTTTCAAACTAGAATTTTGGGAACTCATTTTGTAACATGCATTTCTTTGGCCATCTATGCATAAAAATAGGATAAAGGATGAAGATGTTGTACAAATGTTTGACTTGATGCCATAGCCACAATAATCCAAAACTTACTCATCTTTGTTTTAAATTGAGCCTCTAGAACCAGCCAACCATTTTTTTCAAAGCTTTTCATTGATTCAATTAGGCCTTCATTTCGATTAGCCATTTTGTAGCCTCGATACAAACACAATGAGGACATTGTTTCCCTTAAGTTTGGGGGGGGGGTCTCAAAATACACAAACACTCTAGAACACATGAAACATATGCATTAAGACCAAAAGACAAACAAAAAAACAAAGTTTTATGTCTTGTGCATAAAAAAAGTATCAATGTGCACCATTTTGTTTGAAAAGGACCAAAGGGTCCAAACATACCTCAATATGAGATGCATAGCAGTAAAATTGTGATATGGAGTAAAAAAGAGAGATGAAGTAAAAGACATGCATTGAAAAGAAAAAGCCAAATGCAAAACCCAATTCAAAGTCTCAAAACCTTTGTTGAATCTAATATAGCAATAGAAATGTTGGCTAGCTTATGGTTTGTCAATATCAAAGATTTAAGTTTGGAGGAGCTAGGTTTATAAAGGGCTATAAATATCAAGCATCAAACAGGAGTAGAGCACTTCATTCATAAATTTAAAAAACATGCATATTTTGGCTATTGGGTGTTCATGTTAAAAAAAAAATTAGTTTATTAAAACTTTGAGTATTTTAATTTGTCATTTTGGTTGTTGGGGACAAACAAAAATTCAAGTTTGGGGGTGTGATAAGTGTTAATTTATTAACCTTATTACATCATTTTCTTAATCATTTTTATTTGTTTTATTTGCCCATTAGTGTCTAAATTGAGTCATTTTATGTCATCTTTATGTTTTTGTACATATTAGTACTATTATATCATATCTAAAGTTATTTTTCTGTTTATGCAGATTTTTTGATGATTTTTGACCAAGTTCTGCAGCAGTCMTGTAGGAGCATGTTGACAGTAGTCCTGTAGTACCAAAGAAAGAGTGCTCMTTTGGAGATGCAGATTTTTGGRCCGAAATTTTTGGGCTGCTCCCWTGGAGATGCAGATTCCAAGGCATTGGGYCTGTTTAAAGCCTTCTTTGAAGCTTCATTTTCTCTTTTTAGCTAGTCTTCTTATRTAAACTCCAAACTCCTTACAAATATGAGTTAATTCTAAGCAAAATACTTACAACTTTTGGGTTTTAACAATTTCTCTCTAATATTTTGTTTAAGCTTTCGGTTTTCTTGCTTACAACCAAGAACCAAATTTATTGAAGTAAATTTGCTATTGTGTTCTCAAGTATTAAGTCAAGTGTTCAAGTTTTATCTCATTTCTTTGTCTACTCCCGATTTTTAAAGGCTTTYCGATTTTCGTTACAAGTTGGAATTAATCGATTACTGTTGCATTACATTGGATTTCATCATTTGTGGCTCATGATTAATTTATGTAGATAAAAAATCTGTTTCAAGTGTTTGCAAGTAATTTCTTACTTTTAGTGTCGAAACTTGTATTKCAAGTTTCGTAACTTAGAGTGCAAGTTTATCTAAGCTTCCTTCTTATTAGTCTTTACTTTATGTCTTCTCTTAGAATAATTTTAATTGCTAGTATTTACATTTCAATAATTTAATTTCAGTCTTTTACTTTTCACTTCTTTAGTTTTTTAGTATTTTAATTTATGCACTTTATTTTACTGCAATTTAATTTTTCTATAATTTAATTTCCAACACTTTAATKTCARTCATTTATATTTTTGTACTTTAATTTCCAGTACTTTAAATTCTATTATTTTAATTTTTCGTAATTTAATTTCTGTAATTTACTTTTTCGTATCGGTTATTTATTTTTCAGTCTTTACATCCTTAGCGAGAAGAAATCGAATGATGATGGGCTAAATGCCTTAGTTTGGGGTGTAAGGGAAAATTAAGACCAAARCTGATATAATAGTACAGAGGTGTCTTATTAGCATTATAGTCTAACTATTTGTTTCAGGTGATTAATATTTCATTGAAGATTACATTAAAATTAATTGAYAACTGATTTTGTGTATGAAAATGCATTAACTTTCAGAGTTAAGATAAATAAGAAAACATGAGGTAATAGGAGAAGGCTATGAATAGCTTTAGTATCTGACAAGTACTATACCCCTACGATGTAGGATGGTAACACTGTGTTGTGCTAGGATTCACGACGTCTAACATAAATGATATCATATCAATAACACGTTGGCCGGTGTGTACTTTTGGGAGGCCGTCTGACCCGATAGTTGATACTGTAACAATTTTATAAAATCATCTTGTGGTTTTATGGAATTGTGACAAGAGTGCTACGTCACCTTTCTGCCGGATTGTATGTTTCGTGTCTTAATCAACCTTTGCATCMTGCGCTTSTTTGTATGACTAATATTTTCTTAGTTGCTAATCAAATCACCYAATTTTAGATAAATCAAATCACCCAATTTTAGATAAATCAAATCYCTCGAATTCGTCATCTGAAATTAATTTTTAAAGACCGGACTTTTGAAATAACTTTAAAAAGCTTTCTCTGTRGGAACGATATCTGGTACTTTACCATTATTACTTGTTACAAGACGATAGTAGTTCAAAGTGTATACTTGCGCTGAGTTCTATTTTTGTGTTGAAATCTAAGGTTGCATAAACCGAACGAGCACTTTGTCATCATAAAATAAGGGGTGATTGTTGATCCTCTCTCTCATTGATTTGACGATGATCCCTTTTTACCTTACGAAGTATAGTATTTCTGTTATTCAGTTTTAACGATCTTCATTGAGTCTGTTCAGTGATTGCTGAACATGTATTGTAACTCCTTCAGAGATTCTTATACTTCAATAAGACAAAAACTCACACCACAGATCCTCTAACAATGTCGAAGACAGAAATTGAATATTAGATACCAGCGCGTTCGTGATTTAAAGCGGCATTCAATAATTACAAGCTCTTTTAATCATGTGTGAAGTCTACACAAGTTTCAACGAATTCTAAAGAGACCCTCCAGCGTCATCCSAACATTCAACGATCAAATGAAGCTTGCCATGCATGATTGTTTTTATCTTGTC